TTTTTGACGTACACATTCCTTTGTATATTTTTTTCTTTTTTTCCTGTATCACGTGTGAAACCAATACCATGAATTCAAATACCAAAAAATGGCTGTCCGCCATTGATGACAGACGTATATTATACACAAGTATCAAGAATATATACGACACTTTGTTCGAATTTTATTGTTCGTTTTTTTTAATCGTTCGTATTATCCTATTTCGTTATTTTATATTATATATATATTATATATTATATATCGCACACACGATTATATTTTACAATAATGGCCGCTAAGAATTTACTCTTTTAATCCCTTATTGCATAGATCGATTAGATAAATTCTTTCTTCCATGCTGCATATTCGTTTTTTTTTAAATTAAAATACTCCGCAAAAATATTGTTCCTCGTTTTCTCGCATCTTTGTATTTGTTGCAAATTGTTGAAACGCAAAATATGGGATGCAGATATTTTCTTTATATTATAAAGAACAGATCGTCGATAATCACGTTCGTGTTACAGCTGTAAATCTGTAAATGTTGTTATCCATCTCTTCTTTTCTTAGATATACCAAACTTCTTTTTTTGCGAAAATTTTTAAAGTATATATATATATATCCTCGTATTTTGAACGTATTTCCGCTTCCGTTTTCCGCCATTAACTTGTTTCGAAGGTGATTTCGCTTTTAGTAGGATTTTCTTTTTTTTTGTGTCGCTTTTCTTCGCAAGATTTTTTAAACCGATTTGTAATCATTTCAAATAACTCTCTCGAGCTTTTACGTTATATAATACCTCGCCTGTCTTTTTTTATTAGGACGCGAGATAACTCGTCCGACATTGTATCACGAGATATCGCTAAAAATATAGCGGCATCCTTTATTTATTATCCCTGACTCCTTCCCTTCCCATGGACGAGGTATCTCATAAATTTTAAAAATTAATCAAAATCGTTAAGAAATTTTTCCATTTTAAAAAATTAGTATTTCGTAATTTTACGTAAAATTATATATTTTACGTAAATATTTTTAAGTATTAAGTCGTCTAAAGCAGAGAAGGGATTGATCGACAAACTCGTAACGTAACAATTGATGAAAAACAATTCGAGAATCAGGGTGCAATGGTTTTGTAGAATTTTGCTCTCCAGCAGATATCTTTTTTTTTTTTTCTTTTTTCCTCGATATTACATTATTTCTGAACTGGCTTCGATTGCATTTTTAATTTACAACAGCAACAGACACGATTAGATCTCACGGCGACGTTTCAGCTACTCTTTTATTTCCTTTCTACAATAATCGTAAATTGTTTCGACAGATATTTTTTTGTAGTTTTTGCTCTGAATTTCGTCTTCTACGTCTTGATATAGCAGTAGAGGTGAATACTTTCCCTTCAAACCTGCGAGATCCGTTCAAATGGTGAGTCATTTATTTTTTTTTTTTAATTTCTCGCATGTCAATCCTCTTCTCGATTTTTCTTAACGTAGAACGATTAGCTGTTTATCCTATTCTTATTTATTAAAAAAAAGATCGTAATTTTTCTTATTCTTTTTCTTATTCCCATTTCGTATTTCGTATTTACATTGCTTTTCTCTGAAATTTCATCTCTTTCAAATTTTGTAGAGCTTTTTTTTCAGCTCGATTTATATATTTATCTAGAAAGAATTATTTTTTTTTAATATCAATTCATCAATCGATATATTGTAAATATCTATTGAAGATATAGATTATAAATAATTTATATTCCGTATCTCTTTAATCAACTTTTAATCGTATCGTAATCCCTCTCAAGGAAAAAGAAGAAAAGAGAATTTCAAGCTCGAATTTGTTAAATTCAATTTCGTCGTTCATCGTAGGTATATAGCAGCGAGGAAATTACACGGCGTTAAATTCATTAAATTTGTTAAATTTATTTTTCAATCTTGATTATTGAAATTTAACGAAGAGAACTTTTTTTTATTAAAAAAAAAGAAAAAAAAATAGAGAAATAAAAGAACAATGCAATAAGGGATTAAACGATGATGGGGCATGCATAGCATGTTGTACAAAAAATGTGTGTGTACAATTTTGAACTATTTAAAGATTAAAAAAAAAAAAAAAAAAAAAAGAAGAAGAGTCGAAATCAATTCTACAATGAATGTAATTTATACGAGTCGTATTTGAAATTGTCAACTTCTGCAAGATGGCATCTAAATAAGTTTGAAGTATGCAAATTTCGATGAAGAACAAACGATGGTTGGTAATTGATAGGAAAATAATCGAAGAAGTAAAATTGTGACAGAGATCTGAGTTGAGGAACAGGGTACTTTAGAATTATTAGATTAAACTTCAATTTTCGTTCGAATGATTTTTAGAATGTTTTACAATGTTTTATAAGTTCTCTTATTATATTTTTTCTAGCTTTTCCTTGCTTTTCTTTATTATCCTACATTTTCAATATTATATTAATCTTACAAGCTGAATCACGTAAATACATATGTATGTTCTTCTTCTCTTCGAAACTTTTTTTTAATTATAGAAAGTAATAATCTTTGATGCGACAAATTTTTAGAGGAATTGGAACACAATTTGTTCAAGGACAAAGAATCCCCATCTCGCTTCTTTTTTTTCTAAATTACAATTGATAAAATTTAAGATTGTAACATCTCGAGAGCTTTTCATATTATGTTATAATATTAATAAAAGCAAAGAATATTGCTAGGATGCCGTTCTATTAAAAAGAAGGAAGGGAGACCTCTCTGTCGCAACTTCGAAAACTTGTAATAACCCAAAACAAAAGGGGTTTTTTTCTTCAATTTCATTTCACAAAATCTGTAATATCCGCACAACAATTTTCAAAAAGAGCATGAACACTTTACGTGCTTCACCCTGTATAAAGAATTTTTTTACATTTATCTCTCTTCGTGGCTTGTTGACACATCTTTTGTCCAAATCTCCATTTTTTCGATCGAGATTTTTCGACTCTACTTTTCTCGAGACGTAAAATTTTTCCACGATTCTAATGGTTCTCGTTCGTTTTTCTGCAATGCAAAACAGAGACGACAAAGGGAAGAATCGTTATCATTCTATCTTGAAGCTGCTTAAAAAACGAAACGATCATTCTCATCATCTCATTCCTCGCGAATTGTAACGATCGAAATAGTACTTTCATAAGAGTTCAATCCATCATCCATTGTCAAGAGATTTCCATCTTTTGTTTCGACTTCGACTCGTTTTATATACCCTTCCAAACAAGTTGCACATTGTTATTAAAAATTGTTACTCGCTTTACAATTGGAGAATAATTATTTTTATTCTTAGAAATTTAAAAAAAAAAAAAAAAAAAAAACAATAGCTTCGCTGTGTACAACATTTTATCTTCGTGTTCTTTCATACAGACTTCCATGATAATTTTTAGGTGTTTCACTCATTGTTTTTTTAATTATCGTTGTATCTAAATAGGTATCCTCTCGTCTTAAATGTATGATTGTGTTTCGTCTTTTCATCTTTCATTGTGTCATTCTGCTTTATATTAAATAAATACAACATACATACTTTTCCTTGTTAAATATTACAAATATATCTTTCTTATTACTCAAATGATAAAAAAAATCGTGTAATATCTTCTTTATCGATCGATCACACTTAGCAAATTGTTTGAAAAACAATGGAACTGTTCCGTAGTGAGTGATTTAATAGCTGTAAAAGTTGCCACTCTTATTTTAATCATTCCTATTTCTATTGCAGGAGAAGCTAATTTACTCGAAACAGTTAAATGTCATACTTAACTCGATTAATTCAGTTATTGTAGCCTGAACTGAACCGTTTCTTGAAAAAGAATCCACGTAATTAACGTTAATAATGGAACTTGATAATAAATCGAGAAATTTTTATACAGAGAAGCGAAAATAAGATAAAAAACAAACCATTCCATTCAACACTCGTGTAAAATAGATATTTTATTCAAAGGTAAATCCTTCGATTTATATCTTTTTTTATTATTTTCCCAAACTTTCTCCATCTTTTTTTATTTCGTTAATAAATCTTCTCGCATTTAACAAAGATCAATCATTCGATACGAAGATTCTCAAATTTTAATGAAACTTGCCTATGATATATTCAGAAACCATTTTCTTTTCTAGAACATCATTTTAACGAAAAATGAATCCTAAAAATTTTCTTTCATTATTTGGAACGTTTGGAAACACGCCAAGTTACATTAAAACGGAATTTTCTGACGGAATGAAGATGTTGTAAGATGTTGTAAGATTATTAAAAGATTAAAAAAGAATCACGAAGCTTGGGAGAATAAAAAGAAAAGAAAAAAAATCTGAAAGACACACGGACACACTAGCTAATTCTTGGCAAGTATCGTGAAATGGCGTCCAACTGTCGCATATAAAATAACCTGATTGCTCTCAACATTTACTATTTTACAATTCAACCCCTTGTTGCCGCATCGCGAAACATTTCATCATGGAACATTAGCCAGCTTGGATGTTCTCACGCGTACAGATCATACTTCCATGACATTTCATAGTCATCCGCTTGTCCTATATTATATCACTATCGAAGAGACGACGTTTTTACAGGCAAGCAAGTACGAATCACTAATAATGGAAAAAACCTAGTAGATAACGAAACAAAATTAAAGAAAAAAAAAANAAAAAAAAAAAGAAACAGCGATATTGATCTTGAAACTGGAAACCGTTTCGTAGATACTTTTTCTCACGAAAAAGAAAAAAAAATTAAGATAAAAAGAAGTTAAATATATACCTCCTGATCATGATCCCAGAGATTACCATTCCCTTCTTCACTCACTGTATAGCTTTTCCAAAAGAGAAGAAAAAAAAAAAAAAAAAAGAAAACTCCCGGTTTTAATCCCGGAAAGAAGTGACCATGTATCAAATTAAAAAAGAATTTAAAGAAAGAATAAGAAATAAATAAAAAAAAAAAAAAAAAAAAAAAAATCCATGCAAATCTCGGTACCACGGTAACTGATTTTTAATTAATCGATTTGTTTTGTTCTGTTCCGGTCGACGTATTAGATGAGCCGACAAATGTGATGGTCAACATCTTTCTCCGCTCTATCAGCAAAATAAATGATTATAACATGGTGAGTGCAATCTAAGTCAATCATCTCAAACAAAAGGCCTATATATACCAATCTGTATATCCACACATTGTGTATCTATTAATATTTAACGTCACGTGTATATGATGCCGTAAGACTTGCACTTGTCTGTACTTGTATTTATATTACGTGTGATGTGTATATATATATATTTATATACGTATGTGGGGGTGCTTCGCAATAAATACATACATATATAAATATATACATATGATGGATAAGCCGCGCTAACAGTTGGATGTGTGCTATCAGTCGCACCTCGTTGATTTTTCTCGATGTCGTTGACTGTCATGTTAATATTATATACATATATGTGTATATATATATATATATATATTATATATATTATATATTTAATACATATATACATATATACATATGTATATACGTATATATCTGTATGATCGGCATTATGGTATAATATATACGTATATCCATTTATATGTATATGTGCTTATATATTAGGATATTATCGAATTGATATCTCAATACGAAAGGGAGCGAGTCTGTGATAAGATAAGTCGGAAATGTGGATAAATATTTTATCTTGGAAACCTTCATTTCTCGAAGTGTTTTATTATTTTTCTAATATTTTATTCTTTATTTTTTAAATATCCATTAATTAATTTAAAAAAAAAAAGAAGAAGATTAAGATTGAAAGTATAATTCAATTATTATAACAAACTCAAAAAAAAAAAAAAATAGCGAAGTTTTGGTAAGGAATAATGTTACATAATGTCCATATTTTCGACTTATTTTTTAAGATAGATACGCCATCTTTTGCACCATCAGTTCGATGACATTCTATATATATATATATATATATATGTATATGTATATATATTATATATATATATATATTTGATTGTTTCGGAACGTTCGATTTTTTAACTGTGCTGGTCGTTGCAACCAAGTCTATGCCTTATTGGAATCTTTTTTGCTAGAGAACTAAAGAAAATAGAAGCGCGACGAAGATAATGAAAAACGAATGAAACGATGCGTAAAGTATGGACTCGACCCGTGGATTGCTTTCTTGTTCAACGTTACTCTTTTATACATTCCTTTCGATCATGCGTGCGAGCGATCGTGTCGTGAGTCTAATTGATCTCCTTCCTTCTTTCTTTCTTTTATTCAATTTTATCTCTCGCCACAATTTTATTTCTTTCCCTCAGATCCCTTCCCAAAGTATCATCACAATTCAAGATCAAGATAATATTGGCCCAGAAAAACGATTGATACTTTTTACATAAAATGAAATCTTTCGTATACGACGGGATAGTCTTCGACGAAGTCGTGAACTTTGCTCGTGATTTTCTTGACAAAATGAACGAATTTACTTTAGAAACAGATGTGTTTTCATCAGGCTTGTCTTTGTCGACTCGAATACTTTTCTAATGTATCAAAAAAATGCAATGAATTATTGATTAAGCAAGATACTTTTTTTTTTACTTGAATTAATTTGAATTATAATTTTTTTTTTAGGAATACCACCTATGGGCTGCTATATTATCTTAACCCTTCAGTTTCCATAAGAAAATTCGATTCAAGCTTTCATTCTCTGAATATTTCCCAACGTTGAAAGAATCATTGAATTTCTTCCATTTTATTTTTTTCGGATTTTAAAAAACACGTTCAATTCCTCTTTTCACACACGTAATAAAATACGATCCTTCGTACGCAGGCAGTCGAAGTCGAAAGTCGAAAGTCGGAAGGCTCCTCTAATCACCCTTCTTGTACGCTATATTGTTCTATTTCTTCTTTTTTTTTTTTTTTTTTTTCCTTTTCCTTTTCTATCTTAATTTCTTCTTTTCTGTGTGATTACTAGAGCCTGGACAGAGCAATCGTTACGGAACACTTGGAATCGGCGATATCATGAACCGCATCTTGTCATTTTGCCCATCTCCGATTCTCAACCCTTGCCCACCAACTCTCGTTATCAGAGCCAGTTCCAAATCGAAACTTTGTGTAATCTTTAATCTATCTCGTGGGTAATTGGACGAAAATAAAAAAGCGAAAGTTTCAAACGATCGTCTTATTCCAGCTCTGGTGATGTGTTCGCGTATATATATATATTTATACACATATATATATATATATATATATATATATATATATATATATATATATATATATATATATAAAACGATACAATTGTTTCGTCGTGCGTTTCGTTGCTTTTGCATTGCGGTTTACATTGATGTATTAATTAATTATGGAAGAAAGAAATTGGAAAGGAATTGCGACAGATAAGATAATTAGAGATTGAAGGATTGATAACCAATAGTCACGTGATAGAGAGGTTTCTCACTATTTAATCGTTGCTACGTAAAATCCAACTATTTCCACTCGACGTTAGAAATAGATGATATATAGCTTGAATCGTTGCCAAAGGGAAAGCATAATTGTGCGAGGGAATAACTCGTATGAAAATTGGAAAGCGTACAAAAGATTGCATGACGTTCGAGCGGGAAGAACTGTGACGATGCATAGGAATTTTATTCCTTCTATTTGCGAAATAGAATGTTCGAATTTTTATTTTTCTCTTATTAAATTCTTTTTACACGAAGGAAAAACATTCAGGAATGCTTAGAAACTTTATTTTCGCTTTGCACGCACCGGAATATATTCATAAATTTTATTTTACATTTCGAACAATTTTTTATATATATATATATATATTTATTTTTTTTCTTCCTCTTTTTCTTCGCTCGTGGAAATTGCTTACAAAAATAGCGAACGTTCTTCCCGTTTCAACTGCTTTTACCACTGACATTCGATACAGTACCTGTACCTTCCTACATTCTTCGAATTTGCGCCGCATCACGTTCCTCATATTTCGTTCCAATGTCTAATCGCAAATATAAATGAAATCTTAACTCGATACAATGCGCAACCTCGAAACCAACACGCACACCTCTCTACGCTTCTAATACGCGTGCAAGAGTGTAAAAAAACGTGCAAAGATTTAATGACTTTCGACTCCGAAGAGAAAGATCTCGATAACATCTTCAAGCCTGCAAACTGCTCTTTAAACATCGCAAACACGCGGTTGAGTCTAAAAAAAAAAAAAAAAAAAAAAAAAAAAGAGGTGACGATAAAACTCGAATGATAAAAATCGACTTCATCATGCAAGTAGCAAGGGTCTTTTTTTTTTCTTTTTCAAAACCTTGATTCGATCTTCTTTCTCGGCTTTCAAGCTTCACTAATCGTCGCAGAGCATGATGATGTGGAACGGCGATACGGCAATCACAGGCCGTGTTATTGATTACGTACGAGTTCAGATGTGAAAAAGTTTATTGTGATTGATTACGGATCGTGCATTCTTATTCTCCAACTTTTCTTTTTTTTTTTTCTTTTCCTTTTTTTTTTTTTTTTTTGAAAATTTCTGAAACTGCATGTCATTATTCCACATTATGATGAAGAGTTTGAAAGCATCCATATTGGTTTTCATCTTCGTTTTAAATATGAATTTACGCGATGGCGAACGAGTTGATATTATGATGATTAGATGTTGAAAATGTGAATTACACGAGTTATTGTTATTTGATTATCTATCATGGAAATTGTATTATTAGATTTTTCGTTTTGTACGATAATTTTTATTTTGAAAAAAATGTTTCATGAATTATTCTAATCGCATTCTTTTCTGTATATATATATATATATTTTTTTTCTCTTGTGTTGTATTTTGCTCTATTATCTTGATGATTCTATATAATATTCTAGCTATGTTCATAAATTTATTATTCTGTATAAAATGCAGAATGAAATTGGTAATTAACAATTGCTATTAAATAAAATAATTTATTTTTTCTTCTAAGTATATCTTTTAAGGATCTTAATGCTTTCAAATTTTTTGTTAGTGGTGTATGTATACATGTACACCTCCATTTTTAAATATTAGAACGCTTAATTTGTAAAAAAAAATCACAAAAACTTTGATTAAATTCGATCTTTCGTGTTACATGAAAAAATTAATTTTTAAAATTTAACTTTAAAAAAATATTTCTAAATTAAAGTTAAAGAAAAGGAATTATATTCAAGTTACAAAACGAAAGCATATAATTTTAATAATTGGCAATAAAAGATCGTATTTCTCATAAATATGTTCTAATACTTATAAACAGGAGTGTATATCTCAAAAAGTAATCCCCTTCCTTCTCCTTATTCATTCGATCTCTCTTTTTTACGCCCAAGTCATCTATCTTTTCTTACCTATCTCTCTTCTACATCTATCTATCTCTATTCCAATGTCGTCCATACATCATCAGATCATATAAAGGACGTCGACGAGAAAGCTTCGTCTTCGAGGGTTTCGAATCGAATTTCATCGTGCCATCGATCAGTTCACTAATAGGTGCTCATATCTGATAGAAAATCACGGACGTCACGCCAGAATCCTCCAAAGTGGCATAATAATCGATAATCGACGCGCTGTATCGCGATATCTCGAGAGAAGTTGTACGTCAAAATCTGATCCACGTTAACAACATTCGTTACAGAACGAATTTTCTAAAATAATTTCTAAAGTACGAAATTAGGAAATCGAGGATCTCGATTGTGATCGATCAAAAATCTCCCCAAATCTCGACATGGCGTGAACTTAAGAATTAATTTTCAACGCAAAAATTCTATAAATCTTCTCGAACTTATATCGTATATGTTATTATTCCTGTTGGTGGGAAAGAATGGAAAGAAAGAATTTCATTCGAAGGAGAATATTGCTTCAGCTCGTCGCTATAAAGGCTTGATTGTGTATTATGTAAAAAAAAAAAAAAAAAAAAAAAATCATTTTTTCCATGCAGGAACATTTCGTATGGTTTAAAAGGACGACATGGTATGTACTCGTTCGTTTCAAGTGGGACGATCTTCTCTTAATTTCCTTTGTTTGAATCTTTATTTCATCTTTTCTTCTTTTTCTTTTACTTTATTCTTTCTTTTTATTTCTATTCTGACTTTCTCTGTCACAAATATATATATATATATGTATGTATATACATGTAACATTATTTAAGAGATTACGAAAAATGTCTTCCAATTTATGATAAAGAAATCATATGAAGCAGGGATGTATCGTGTTCATAGATATGTGTAGGCAATATTTGCAATATTATACTTGCAATATTCATTATTGCTTGTAATACAATTCTTCGAAACAATCACGATCGATCGAAGCAATGACTTTTAAATAATAATTTTTCTTTTTTTCTCTATATTTTTAAGCCAATATTGGCTTACAATAATAATACAATTAATCATTAAGATGTATAAGATATTTGCCTGAAAATGTCGGATTCTTTGGAGCACAGATTATATAGTTACTGTTCATGCGTTACTTTAGGTCTGGATGGCTTCGAAATAATTTTTTTTCAAGTGATTTAAAAATTTGGGGAATAATCTGCAACATAAATCTGAAAGGATAACTGTAATGAATTATTCGTAACAAAATTTAATCACCACTCGATATTTAAATAATAGATACTCGATGATAAAGAATTATTTCAAATTTTCATAAATATAATTAATACGGTAAATTTCAGAAAAATCTTATCGTAATATAAGAAGAATGAATTTAATTAATGTCGAGGGACAAGAGAATTGAGAAAGATTGGAGGAGAATTCTCTTTCATTCCGGTGAAAATACGAGCCGTACGATAAAGTCGGATTATTAGCTGACTCGTACTACTTGCGTGTAATGTATTCATGAAAGCGAAAGTGAATGAACTGAATGAACTCTTATTAAGATATATCACTTTCGTAGCGTCAGATCGATCAAAAGATGTCGAATAATTAAGTATCGTGAACAAAGAACTGTATCGTACGCCTGTTTACCTTTCACACACACGTGCACATAAACACGTATACATAACAGGTAGGTGCATAGAAACTCTGAACGGCGATAGAAATCGCGAGAAGGAAAATCAATTATAATTGGATCGATCGAAACGAGAGAGAAGAGAACAAATTTTTCAAATTATACGAAGAGATATTTTTGTTATATATTTTATAAAAAGATTTATATATTCAAAGGAAAAAAAAAAAATAAAATATAACCATTCTTCACTTGACTATTGGTTATCAATATACATATATATTTGTTTACACATCCGATGAATTAATTTTGACTTTTTTATTTCGATATATATATATAGGATATGTTATAAACGAATCGAACAAATTGTGCTGAACAATTTCTTGAGAAAAAAGTAAGCGATTGTTATCTCTTTAAACGGATTTTTCTCGAAATAAAACGAATCTTATGTACCTGTAATTTTAGTTGTACTTTGACGTAGGTGTATAAGGAGATGATTATTTTTCAAATTTCTTTTTTTTTTTTTTTTTTTTGCCACAGTGTTTCTTCGAATCACTGTGCGTTTCCCACATAATTCCAAGCCATTTTTGCAAACCTGTCGACACACGTAGGAACATGCAAATATCGAAGTTCGAATGATCGCGCTTCTAAGAGAATAAAGCGAAACAAAATAAGAGAGAATACAAGATAAAAATACAGCAATTTTGGAGGCTTTTTGAATCCTCCTTTTGCGACATGTTGCTCAATTTTCAGAAACTCTCGTGGATAATGGTAAGTGTTCGCAACCAGAAATTAATCGTCGAGAGAGAGAGAGAAAAAAAAAGATACGAAAGAACGGAAAATAAAATAGAACGAAATGATAAAATGAAATAAACGAGCGAGCAAAATCGAAAAAATATAAAATATAAAAAGAAAACAAAAAAAAAAAAAAAAAAAAGAAGGAAGAGAATATATTTAAAACGAATTAAAAAAACCGAAAGAAGGATTTAAATTTTAATTTCCATTCCGAGTACGCTGCCAAGAATCGGAGGAAAAATATCGAGATATTCGAATGCAAAAAATAAAAAATAAAAAAAACACCAAAGAATGACACAAAAGAGAAAAAATTTTGGACTAACCCCCCTTCCAAGCAATAAACAAAAGTTAAAAAGACAAAAAAAAAAAATAAATAAATAAATAAGACAGGATGCCGTCAACAGGGACAGACCCAGCCAGGATAAAATGAAACTGTGAGCCAACATGCATGCGTTGTCCACTTGCAATGTACATACATATATGCATATCTTTCTGTATATATATATATATCATCGATAATTTTCAGACACATACATAGCAATATAAAGTAGAGTAGAGTTAAGATTGTTTCTAGCTGGTATATCCACTGGTAGTTATTGGTAGTTAGCTTCGATGTTGCTTCGATTGCATGTCTTTTACATTTGCTTCAACGCGGTGTATACAATTACAACCTGAACATCATTGTTTGTTCGTTCACCCCCCTCCCACTTCCTTGGTCCACAACCCCCTCTACTCCCCTCTACGCCCCTTACCCTATTTTTTTTCTCGGCAACGAGACTTTTTCATTCCAGCAAGATATCCACGCGGCCTTGATTCTTTAACGCTTCGTGGTCAAAAAAAAGAAGAAGGAGGAGGTGAGGGTGAAAAAAAGGGGTGGAGAGAGATAGAGAGAGAGAGAGAAAAGAAAAAATTCACCACGACGACCTTTCGTCGTCGGAGCAGAAGTGCTCTTTGCCGTTGAAACGACCTCTAAAACCGTCCAGGGTTAATCTTTTTTCTTGTTCCGGCTTTTTTTTTTTTTTTTTCTTTTCTCTCCACCTCCTTCTTCCTTTCTCTTTCTCTCTCTCTCAGTCTTCAGTCTCAGAACATCTTTCGCGGATTTCTTATCGTTCTATCGGCGAAGAGCTATCTGTTTAAAGTTGGATGTGCCTTTTGAAAGGACAAATGAAAAAAAAAAAAAAGAAAAAAATGTGGAAAGTGATCGAGTGATTTAAGGGAGAATTTTTGTTGAACGTTCGTAATCGATGGATTGTTATTTTTTTTTTTTTTTTTTTTTCACGAAGCGTTGAAGATACTCGAACGAGGTATCTTAACGCATACTTCCGTTCGATTGGGCTGATATAAAGTAAACGATCGAGTAGGTAGGATATTCGAGGCATCGTTATTATTATTATCATCGAAGACAAAGATATCTTTGGTTACTTTGTTTTATTAGAAATATTTTTTTTTTTTTTTTTTACACCCGCTCCTCCCTTCCCTTCCTCTGTTTTCCTTTTATTTGATTCTGTCAGAATCTTTTTATCTCGTTCCAACGAGATCGATGGGATATATATTCCGATCGATTTTGCGATGGAATTTCATTTTAATATTTCCTGATACATTTGTAAGATTTGTGGAACGCTTTGCTCGATCATTATTTTTCGAGGAGACGTTTCAGAAAGTCAGTCGGTGACTTTAAGATGCTGATGTTACGCAATTACTGACCTCGTTCACGTTTATTGATGCAGCTTACTGTTCTTTCTTCGTTCGTCTTGCGTTTCGTTTTTGAAATTTTTCTATTCATTTTTATCATGTGTTAGACGTGTAATACTGAATCGTATGTCGAGAGAAATTTATCTCAGTGTTTGCAAGGATTTATCAGATTAATGATAAATCTTTTCTTTTTTTTTTTAAATGAATTCTATTCTTCTTTTTAAAATAGTTTATACACAAGTGTGTGTTCTCAATTGAAAAGAGTTCAAAGATTGTTTGGGATAATATCAATTGTGAAATTAATAGTAAGTGTAATATTAATAATATTATTTTTCTCTTTTTATTTTTCATAACGTTAACCAGGTCAGTAAACTAATTTTTATGTGATCAATGGTACAACAATGAGTAAAATCAAATTGATTTTTTCCGAATTGTTAAAATTGTATATTATAAAAGTTACGTTACTCTCTAGTTACATTTTTAAATTCCACATATTCCACAAATTTATTACATAAAAATACAAAGTTAATTATGCATAATAAATTTTAATTATTATACAGCTGTATATTATTTTTAATTAATTTTTCTTCCTTGTTGATTTCTGTAGATTGATTTCATGATTAGAAAGAGGCATAGAAATTTCACATTGGACATTTAAAAGGATAATTGAAATATTTACAGATTTTTTTTTGAGAAAAGAAATACTTACAAAATTTATTTAACATTTCGAATAAACGATTCCCAATACGAAACGAAATATTTTCTTTTCAAAAGTCTGTTCTGAAATTTCTTTTGCAATTGCCTTATTTCTTTCTTTTAATTCACTTTAATTCACAAATCATTATATAGAAATTTCGAACGATCATTTCGATTCATAATTTATTTGCTATTCACTTTGCTACGATCAAGATTCACTCGATTAAATCATTCTTATTTTTTCTTCTCTGCAGGAATATTCTGTACAGTTAACATTCCGGGAACAATGGCTGGATGAACGATTACGATTTAATGATTTTGGAGGTAACTTTAATTTGTTTCAATAATGTTTTTCTACAATTCTGTTTTATCTGTTTCCGTTCTAATATTGTAAAATTATTTTACAGGTCGTCTAAAATATTTAACATTAACGGATGCGAGTCGTGTTTGGATGCCAGATCTGTTCTTTTCGAATGAGAAAGAAGGACATTTTCACAACATTATTATGCCGAATGTGTACATTCGTATTTTTCCCAATGGTTCCGTTCTATACAGTATACGGTAATAATAATAATAATCGATACATATTCCAAAAAATATAAATATTCTCTTTTAATAATTTAAAATTATTCTGACGTTCTATGTATTTCCAGGATATCCTTAACATTATCATGCCCGATGAATTTAAAATTGTACCCCTTGGATCGACAAGTTTGCTCATTGCGTATGGCAAGTTGTAAGTATTACATTTATCTAATAAAAAATATATATTTAAATATCAAATTTGTAATGTATAACATGCAGAGAGAAATTTGGTTTTATTCTTATTCTATAAATTTTTAAAAATTTTTTAAAAAAAGATATTCGCGGTTTATATTAATAGAGAATGTAATTTTTTTTTAGATGGTTGGACAACCGATGATTTGGTTTTCTTATGGAAGGAAGGAGATCCTGTCCAAGTTGTTAAAAACCTACACCTGCCTCGGTTCACGTTGGAGAAATTTTTTACTGATTATTGTAACAGCAAGACGAATACTGGTCCGTAAATTGCCCATTTTTATTTTATTTTATACTATTAAACTGCTATATAAAACTAATGAAAGATTCAATTTGTAGGAGAGTACAGCTGCTTGAAAGTTGACTTGCTCTTCAAGAGAGAATTCAGTTACTATCTTATTCAAATTTACATTCCCTGCTGCATGCTCGTCATTGTATCCTGGGTATCGTTCTGGCTCGATCAAAGTGCTGTACCAGCTCGAGTTTCACTAGGTAACCTTCAACTGGACATAAATGTTTCAATTCAAAAAGAAAATCAAATTTTTCCAATATGATTTTCCAAAATGAACCTATGGAAATTTATACAAATCTATTTATCTCTCTTATTTTATTCTACATTGTTACTCTGATGATTTCAAGATTAATTAAGATTGATTGAACTAGGTTCATAATAGGAATTATCAATTATTATCAATTATTTATTTATTTAATTTATTTTGATTAATTATTCTTATTATTTAGGTGTGACCACCTTGTTGACGATGGCTACACAAACGTCAGGAATAAATGCCTCACTGCCACCAGTCTCTTATACAAAGGCTATCGATATTTGGACAGGCGTATGCTTGACCTTTGTATTCGGCGCTCTCCTCGAATTTGCTCTAGTAAATTATGCGTCGCGGAGCGACATGCACAGCGATAATATAGAGAAAAAATATCCGCCGTCTGAAACGGAACAATCCACATCGATGGATCTACCCTCTGATCAAGTCGAACCAGATAATTCGTCGAATTTCGCTATGGTCAGTATACAAGAATATTATAAGCTATTCAAGCCCTAAGTGCTTCTTTATACCTTCTTTTTCTTTCCCTATCCTTTCTAAAAAAAAAAAAAAAAAAAAAAAAAAAGAAATAACAGTGTTTATTGTTCCTATTGTTTTAAATGTATAGAATGGAAATTGTGTCTTCCTTTTTTTATTCCTTAGTAAATCTCATATTATTAATGTTTGATATATAAAATCCTAAATATTAGCACATTGATTCATTGATAATATAATTCTGATACTTATTTCGTGTTAAGAATAATTGTTAATCTAATTCATTAAATATTTTTTTTTATTTACTTTTTTATGTTAGAAGTACATTATTTTTTTTTTTTTACTTTTTTTTTAAATTGTATATTTTCATTATATTATATCAAATATTTTTTTATAATAATAAATTTTGTTTCTTTGTTTTTTATTATTCGTTATTGTGTATTAGAATCTTTTTAGATTTTCTTTCATTTCTTATGAATTTTTTTATTTTTATTCTATCTTTTTTAAATGTATGATTTTATAGCATAATAAAATCGTAAAATAAGAAAAAAGATAGCAACATTTCTTCTGGCAACATTCATCTTTGGTCAATGATAAAATGCTGCATTTCGAATATTGTATACAATGGTAAAGCGACGATTAGAAAAATAAGCTTAATTTTATGGAGCTTCTTTTAATTTTTTTTATAGTTATCATTCTATACTTTAGTTATTTGCATATAAAATATTTCATAAGCATAGAGCATTAATCATAAGATGTTATATCTCTTGTTATTTTTCTTTTTCTTTTTTTTTTTTTCTTAACGATATAATTGAAGTGTATATAAATTGAAAAATTCTGAATCTAGCTGTCACAACGTACATTCATTCTATTATTTTATTTTTATTATTATAAACTGCTAGACCGGATATGATGGACCACTTCAACATTCTCTACAGGTAAATAATTCATTTAAAAAGTCTAGTATTTTATATTTCTAACTTGATTTTTACATTCATACAGTAATGCGACTTTCAGCATTTGAATAATTGATCATTCTAGAGATATACATGCTATAATAGTAATTTAATGGTAATGAACATTTTATTTTTATATGACAAATGCTTGCTACATTGTATAGGTAGAAAAAAGATATCATTACATTTTATGGTAGCTCTTTCATATTCATACTAGAATGATACTTTTTATACAGTCATAATAAGAAAAAACAAATAAATATAATATTTATTCAATTTCATTTAAGTCGATGAAAAATATACAATACAAACTTTTATTAGGTTTTTACACATATTCACATATTCCATACGAGTTAAATTTTTCAATTATCGTTAATCAAAGTTGGATGTGTTTTTAGATCATTTTGATATCATTGGAATATTATATGATATGCATGTTTATACAATTTTAGATCACTTGATAAGAAATAGGTCTATAGAAAAAATATTTTCAATTTAGATTGTTCTCCTAATGTCTCCAACATTTTTTGTTGTGAAATAATCCATAAAAAAAAAAAAGTAAGAATATAATGCATGCATATATAAGAGAGAAATACACAGGAAATGTGCCAACACTTTTACTACAAACTCGCACCACAATTAGCTTTACGTGTTAAATGTTATATATCCACTTCCGTTATAATCAAAATTGTGAATAAATTTCCTCAAAATATTGATCTTTCCTTTTAAAACTTTCTCTTATTAGAGAATAGTATTTTACAAAATATATATCTCGCGAATGTATCTTATTTTCCTATACAGTGACCTGTTGACTCGTCACCATAATAAAATTGGCAAAAACCAAAGTAATTTTATAAAGATTTCAAATCGAGTAGAACTTGATATTTTGTTACGTATCTTTCAATTTTAATGAAAACATCCCTTCTAAATAAAAATATCTATTCAGAATTAAAAAATAAAGTACCTACTCGAAGTAAAATGTATCGTTCACTTAGCAAAGTTAACGAGTCACTGTAAAAAAAACAAAATTACAATAATTTTCATTCTTGCGTATATCTTGGAAAAAAGAAAAAAAGAAAATCGATAATTTACGAGAGAGAAAAGAAAGAAAAGAGAAATAGAAAACGCGCGACTAATGGGCGGCAATCGTGGTAATTTTTTCAGAAACCTCTGGTCCGACAACCGGAGGATACCATGTCGGTGGATAGGATGCAGCACTGCGAATTACATATGCAACCACGAAAAAAAAACTGCTGCAGGTCGTGGCTGTCCAAGTTCCCGACGAGGTCCAAGCGCATCGACGTCATCTCACGGATCTTCTTCCCCATCGTATTCGCTTTCTTCAATCTCGCGTACTGGTCCACGTACCTGTTTCGGGAGGAAGAGCAGAACGAGTGAACGTCGACGAGGAAGCGCTGGGATCAAGGAACGTGGCTCGCGGCCATTCCCATCATTCTCACACCACAACAACCACAACAAGCACAACCGCCAAACCTCATCATCGTTCGCGCCCACGCCACCATCATCACCAACAACCGCAACCACCTTACCACAGTTGTCGCCTCCATCACCAACACTATCAACATCAACACGGTAACCTGCAACAACAGTCGCAACAACACCTGCAACAACAGCCGCCGCCACCGCCGCCCGCCCCATCTGGCCAACATCAATCGTTACCATCGCACCACCACCACCACCACCACCAGAGGCACAAACACCATCCGCGTTATCACATACATCAAGCACAGCAACCGAGATCTCCCTCGTTCTCGTCGTTGCACAACGTCGAAGGTAGCGGTCGGTGCTCGCCAAGGGGTTCGCGGCACTCGTGCAAAAGCCCTGCGAGATCCTCACCCTCACCCTCGCCTTCGCCCTCGCCCTCGCCCACCGCGTCTCGCAGGGCTACGCCCTCACCACCCGCGGCGACTGTTCGCACGACCCCACCTCAAGACATCCGCCGTTTTCAACCATTTCCGCTTCCTCGTACCGAGAGGTGCTGTTGGGGTCTTTTACCGCGGCGTTGGTTCACATGTCGAGCGAAAGGTACAGCCGGGATTGACTTCGTCTCGCGTATCGCTTTCCCCCTCATGTTTATCTTGTTCAATTTGGGATATTGGTCCACCTATCTGTTCGCAGGTGACGAAAATCTTCATATGCAAAAGTAAGACTATTGCGTATCGAGATCATTATTGCATATTGGATGGTCACATAGATGGATCGAGAGAGGGAAAGAGGGATGGAAAGGTGTATACGCGAGTGATATCAGTCTACGTCGAATAAATTTAATTATAAAGTCTGTCTGGTCGGGCTGTCTCGACGGATCGTGTCCCCCTTCGCGTTGCGACCATGTTTTTCCATGGTATGCCCGTCATCTTTGTCAATATTATCGTCAAGGAATGGTGTGAAAGAGCGTATAACGTTCACGTCAATAATATCTTGTAATATTATGTCGATATTTCGAGAATAGATAGGAGGGAACACCCGTTCCGTTGGGAGATGCTCGTACGCTTGTGTTTGAAATCGAGAGTGGGAAAGGAAAGAATGGCATAAATGGTATGAAATCGAGAACAAAGTGTACTTGGACAGAAGACTTTTCAATAATCCGTGCCTGAAGTTCGATGACCACATAAAAGACCAAGGAAAGCGCAACGAAATAACAACGCTCGGTACGGTAGGAAGTAGTCGACGAAATATATTATATATAAATGAATATATATATATAATATATATATACATAATAAAAAAAACCAACGGGAGAAACGAAAATGGTATAAAGATTTAAGCTCTCTTATGCGACCGTATATATATTATTATACACACATACACACACCTCTGTAACATATTCGGAAGACCGCGTGCCACAGGATGAAAAACCAAATGTTGTAGTGTGGGCCCTGTATAGCCACGGCCTGTTAAACGAACTACATGCGAATGAATAAATTTATAAATAATATAACGTAATTATAATTGACAAGTAAATCGTTAATGCAACAATGATTCCTGTGTATAAAAAAAAAAAAAAAAAA